ATTGGCGGTCTGGCCGAGTGGTGCCATGTCGAAATTATTATCTGCACTACCACCCTCCTTGTTCGAGCTCCAATAAGGGTGAGAATGAGACCAGTTACAGGCGAGATCAAAACTGCATTCATCAACTTATGCGACTTAGGCAGATTAAAGTTCTTCTATAAGGTTTTCACCACTGGACTGTACTGTAGTCTCGACTCCGGTCGGGTCTCGTCTGCAGCTCTCAAACAGGACACTAAACTAGATCGTGAGCACGGTTACGAAAGCTTACATCGGGACTACGCCTCCACGGGAGTCAAGGCAAGTCATGGCTCTGATATCACCAAGTGGTAACGAAAAATCGACATCACTACTTATACTCCGTATGAGTAGATTTTATTGAGTTATACTTCATGGCAGACAAGTTAAATGATATTAAGACTCCATGAATAGATTGCTGCTAGTATAACTTCCAGTTAATTTAGTGAAGTAAGTCAAATGATTCGTAGATTTGTCTCATCGTAAACCGAGGGAGGATTGCCTTGGAACCGTGATTGCAGATTTGTGCTATTAAAGTCTTGGCTCACTGCATCGCGGTCGCAATGAATCCTTGTTAATCTTTCGTCCATCATATGATGCACATCGTCAGAGTAGGACATTTGGTGTTACGATACAACACCAAAATAGCGAATACAAGCAAGGTCGCATAAATCTACTGTCAATGCAATTCTTTTTCTGGCCTCAGTTTAGGCCAACTTGCGTATTACTTCCCATCACCTTTTCAAACGAAATGAAAGGTATACTAGCATAAAGGAATGGTAGCAGAATTTTCCCACAATGATATGAATAGAGCTGACGTTTCCATTGAATTTCACAAAGCCTTGCTTTCCAAAAAGTTTTTCTCTAGGGTGAACTGCAGTTTCGACCTTGATTACGTCTCATGAACACCCCAGCGGGAGTAGAACCGTGACAGTACAGCATGTGAGTTTGGCACGTTAACCACTCGGCCGCATTGCCACGAGTGTCCTTAGGTCATAGGGCCGATGTGAATTTCGAAGAAGGCCAGACCTTTTCCCATATAACATTTTTTGGTGGGATTTTCCATAAAGCAAACGTATTTTTGCTAAAAAAAATAAGCAAAAATAAGTCTGGCCTGGGCTATCGGCCAGCCGCTTCTTTCTATATACAGAAAGCGCAAAACCTGTCCAATATGTGTTTTCAATATTGTCGTTGATGTGGTTCTATAGAAGGACTTGCAAGTTTGCGCTGCCAATCAGTATGACCCACACTAAAGAAATGCGGTCATAACTAATAAAACTTCGTAACATGGTAAGGTTGTTAATGCGACCTCGATATGCCTACATTATTCGGCTTCCTATACCATAGTAGTTATGCAAACTTCTAACCTGAGCGTTTTCAGGACAAAACGAGCATATTTGACAAGAATTAGCTTGGCGCTAAAACTGGTGGAATACCTTGCAATGTCCTAAGTTGATATTGGAAGCTTGCATGACTATTGGAAGAGAGGAT